GGGGGTTCTCTGAGCTTGGATGTTTTCTTGCAAATGTTTCATTACCCAGCTAGGTAACATCTTCAGTGCTAGCAAGAAAACAACCAAGCTCAGAGAACCCCCAAGGACTCCACACTCAACTGGGTTCTTAAATTAACTCATTTGGGGGGTTTGCCCATGTTGCAACAAAGTTGAACCCATAGAATAGAAAGTTGGAGGTCTCAAATCTCTTAGATAAGAGCTCCTCTGGGCTCCACAACATGGCCTCGCTGCCTTGGAATAGTGGCTTGGTAGCTCCTACGGTCATACCCTATTTTCCAGGAGGCACCTCCTGACATCCTAACTCTGTTTCTCAATCTTGGCAACTTCAAGCATGCTGGCTGGGGAATTCTGGGAGTTGAAGTCCACACAGCTTGAAGTTGCCAAGGTTGAGAAACACTGTCCTAACTCCTGTGTATGAGAGATAGGGCTGTCACAGAAAGATCTTCAAGCATGCTGGCTGGGGAATTCTGGGAGTTGAAGTCCACACAGCTTGAAGTTGCCAAGGTTGAGAAACACTGTCCTAACTCCTGTGTATGAGAGATAGGGCTGTCACAGAAAGATGCTGCTTTCTTTCAGTTAAAAGGTCAAAAATGCAAAAGTTGAAATAATTTCTATATTGCAGCTTTCTGGCCATGCGTCTTAGAGATGTGTGACCAAAATTTTCAGACCTTCTTTCTCCCCAGCCTTGGGAGATATTCCAATCTCACCAGAGATAAATAAAATCAAACTTTATTAAGTAAAAAAAGAAAGAAAAACTATAAAATGTGTTTTAACCTTAAATACATAGAATTCAAACCTTCAGTAATGAAGGAGATCAGTGACAGAGCTGTTCAAATTATAAGAAAAGAGCAGCTTGATTTAAGAAAGAAATTTTACAAAAGAATGCTCCCAACAGACCACAAGATGCTGCTGCTTTAGTAGAAATGATCTAAGAAAGATCTAAAGAAAGATCCTGGAGAAAGCTTCAGATTGATTACTGCAAATTAGTAAAGATTCTACAAAGAAGTGATTTCTTCTTCATCCTCCACAACCTGAGAATATGCATAAAAGTATTGTACTGAGTAAGAAAGATGACCTTGATGGAAAGTTGCAAGATTGGTGTCCGCCCCACTAGGTAGACCAGGCCAGGAAATCAATTCCACAGAAAGACTGAAACTACTTTTATTGAGATTGGCTATAATAACAGCATCTTGCAAGTCTGATTGTGCTGGGCCTCCTCCTCTTCCTCCCCCTCGTTATACACCTGTGAATTAGGGAGGTGTCTGACTGAGCCACTTCTGAATGTTATCTCTCTCTTGTGGACTTAAAATATGTTTCACCTCCATCACCCTGCCGATGGATTTTGCATATCTCCGTCAAGGTCATCTCCCTTACTCTCTACAAGTACACATCATTCCTGATGTATGGAGAAATTAAAAAACAGCAGACTTGAGCACAGCTCAGTAAAACCAAAGTTAAATATAACACAGCATTGAGTGAAATGTTTTTATCTTTCATAGATACCAGTTTTCCAAAGCAGAACTTTCTTTCATCTCAATTATTCCTTGGTTTCCCAGTATTATGAATGTAGGCTGGTGTTCACAACATTGCAATACACTGGACCGTAAGCTACCCAAGTGGTATTGTTTTCCCACAATCTGCTACACCACAAAAACTAAGTTTCCACTGTAGTTTGAATGATGACACTAACCCGATTGAATAACAGGCAACGAGACATGTTGGGTACACCCATCTGATCTCTGCCAAGTTTGGCAGAAGTAGCTGATTTAAATTTTTCATTTGAATTCAGCTGAATCCATGAATTCAGCTTCTCCTAGGAAATTGAGGAATTGAGGAAAGAGATGCTTTTGAAAAAAGGCCGAAAGACATAGTTATACTCCTGACATTTGTTACACTGGCACAGAAACGATTGAATGGGGCACTGATTGCTTAGAGGTGTGAGATGCAAGATGGTTATTTAGAAAGGTGCAGGTCACAAACTGAACAACAATATATTTATTTGCTTTCAGGCTGATCAAGGGATCTCTGAGGACATAACTGGGAAACGTTTCTATGAAGGGAGTTGGCGATGACCAGGGAAGACCTCACAAAGCGGTCGTGCACGTGCCGGACCTCCAGCAGAAGATCCAGATCTACCCTCCACCACCACTGGATTCTGCACTACTAAAGAACTAAGCCACAGAGTCTAGAATGGCTTACCACACTTCCTGCCGACCGCATGGGTGGAGACTACTCCTCCCATCATCCCACAAAGGTCCATGGGTGGGATGGGTGCTGTAGTCCAATCCATACGGCCGGAAGGTGATCTAGAGGGCAGCTGGAGGCTTTTGTTCCTGTTTTTTTTTGCCCACCCCCCTGACAAAAATCTCATGTTTTCGCCCAGCAAGTTTGCCCAGGCGGGTTCTGAAAATTTTTATTAAGCACAGAGATAATGATATTGCACAGAGATATCATGCAACTGAAGATGGCCCTGCTGTGATTACAGAACTCATTGGCACCCAGAAAAAGGAACAAGAGCCCAGGTGGATATTCCACAGGTGAAATGGAGGTGGAAGACCCAGGCAATGTCCATGCAGCTGGAGGGAGGGCAACACCTGTGGAATATCCACCTGCTCGGTGAAGCCACCGCAGGCTTAACAGGACCGAGGCCTGAAGCTTTCTTGGGGTTTGACCCAAAGGCGCCATTCTCACCTCCATCTCAGCATCTCAGAGTGGAAATAAAGCATTATGAGGAAAAGAGGCAGATGAACAAAGAAATCCAGGTTATTTTTCAGAACGAAATCCAGGTTATTGCCTCAATGGGGGCGGAGGCTGCCGCGCTGCCCTCCGGACCCACCAACTGCAGCTCCCGAAGTCAACGGCTCCGTTCACACAACACGTTGACCCACTCGCGTGCTTCGTCGCTTTGGGAAGTTTTCGTAAACGAGAGGAGGCGGTGATTTGCATATGCAAATAGGTATGCAAACAAGCCCACCCTCTTTCACGGGCGCAAGGTGGGGGGAAGCGCGTCACTCACCATTTCGCCGCGGCGCCCCAACAACTTGGCTCAAAAGTTGTTGATGACCCCGCCCCTCCGTTTCTGCGGCAACGAGTCCCGCCTCTCACGTGCCGCTCCGAGAGTCCCCGCCCCTTGACGCCTCTGCAAAGGTGAACGAATTCACCCAAGAGGATGGAAAGCTAGTTTGTAAAGACACTTCCGGTTCTCAAGAAAACCTTGCGGGGGTGGGTACTCCTAAGGCTCCCCCACGCGACCAGTGCACAGAAAGAGGATTGGGACAACCTGGGTGCGTGACGCTTCGGGAGGAAAAAGGGTAGGAACCTATTTGTTTTTCATGTACTCCGTGCCATGATGGAGTGCCAATGCGAACGTTGAATCGAATTCGGAAGTGATCGCTCGGTGGCAGCTTTCATTTCGTTCTTCCTCTATAATTTAATCAGTCCCCATCTATGTTCTTTGCTAAGTTTGCGCAGGCGCACTATCCTTTTGCTTTGCGCAAGTGACCCAGGGTTCTGGTCTGAAGCAAAGACTTCGGTTATTTGGGAGCTGTAGCTGTTTCTTTCGAGTTCTGCAGAAATTTGCAATGTATTTACTGTATTTCTCTAACGGCAGTTTGCACCCTAACTTGATTAAGGTCAATAGGCATGACTGAGAAGAATGCGCAAGCTTTCGGATTCTGCAGAACCCTTTAGCCTGGGGTTCCTCAACCTCAGCAACTTTTAAGACAGGTGGACTTCAACTCCCAGAATCCCCCAGCCAGCATGGCTGGCTGGGGAATTCTGGGAGTTGAAGTCCACCCGTCTTAAAGTTGCTGAGGTTGAGTGGACTTCAACTCCCAGAACCCCCCAGCCAGCATGGCTGGCTGGGGAATTCTGGGAATTGAAGTCCACCTGTCTTAAAAGTTGCTGAGGTTGAGTGGACTTCAACTCCCAGAACCCCCCAGCCAGCATGGCTGGCTGGGGAATTCTGGGAGTTGAAGTCCAGGCTGGCTGGGGAATTCTGGGAGTTGAAGTCCACCCGTCTTAAAGTTGCTGAGGTTGAGGAACCCTGCTTTAGCTGAAGTGGTACAACCATTGAATGGGAAAATACAGAAAAATAACCCCCTGCTTTCTCCTCCAACTGTAAAGACCAGGAAAAAAGTTCTTGCACTTTCTGTGTGTACAGAAGAGATGAGGAAAGCGTGATTTGGCTAGGAGAAATTGACCTCAACGTGCCTGGTTGTGATCCGAGAGAAAAACACGGGACCGATATTACTCATTCCATAGTGCAGAGGGATTGCGAGAGTTACGAAAGGCTGTAATTGGAAGACATGAGAACAACAACCCTGCAAAGTAGGCCAGTGGCCCTTTCCCTAGGACAGACTCAGAGGAAGGAATTTAGGCCCATTTTTGCTTCTGAGACTTGCATGGAGGCATGCAGTAAACTTAACCAGTATTCTGAGTTTATAGGAAATAGTGTCTAGGGCAGTGTTTCTCAAGCTTGGCAATTTTAAGATGCCTGGACTTCAACTCCCAGAATTCCCTGGCTGGGGAATTCTGGGAATTGAAGTCCACACTCTCAAAGTTGCCAAGGTTGAGAAACACTGCCCTAGAGTCATGCATATTAGATGTTGTTTAGTCGTTAAGTC